GTAATTTATTTATTTTTATAATTAATCTATTTCTTTTTAGTTTTCAACATTCACTTCCATAAAATTTTGAGTTTTGAATTTTCTCCCCCACCCTCTAAGGAGAGTAATTTAGATAATAACGATAACATTATAAAGAAAAAGAGATAGCCCAAGTGTTGCACTGGTATACACAAAATATTAAAAGAAATGCAGGAAGGTCTCCCCCAATAACAATACTGGATGGTGTTTGTATGGCGTGTTGAGGTTTGCAAAGCACTTTCTATATTTTATCTTATTTCATCCTCACAACAACCCTGTGTGGTCGGTGTTGTTGTCATCCCCATTTGACAGATGGGGAAACTGAGGCTGAGAAGTAACACGGCTAGGGAGTGTTTGAGGCAGGATTTGAACTGAGGTCTTCTTCCCTGGGAGCACAGAGGATTTATGGGAAGACACAAAGATTGGACAGGATGAGAAGATATGGACAGGTTTTGATATACAACAGTAAGGATACTGACTCTGCTGATGAGAACATAGCTCTGCTAGTCTTTGAGGTTGGACTGAGATTATGGGAAAGGATACCTATGCCGGGTACTGGATGCCCCATACTGGATGGAGAGAGGCCCTCCAAGGTTTTATGTTGGGGGATGAGAATGGTGCGCAGCCATAAACAGGGGTGGAAAGGACGTTAGAAATCATCCCTTCTGGTGCTCTTATTTTACATAGGAGGAAACTGAGGCCCAAAAAAGAAAAATAATTTTTTGAGTCTAATGCAGGAGAGATGGACAGAGGTTGGAGGGGGAAAGGGAGAAACACCTCTTTGATTCTGAACTTTGGGAATCTTGAGAGACCCCCAAGCTAGGCTTTTGAACCGTTTACTTTCTACCTTCCACTAAGAAGTCGGGCCAATGGGGGACAGTCAGAACTTGAGAAACCCAGGAAACACATAATCATGTTGCTCTTCTCTCCAGGGTATTTTTATCCAACTTTGCCAGGCCCTGGAGAAACTAAGGCAAGGGGCTATTAGATGTGGAAGCAGGAGGAGAGGGGATGGCTCAGCCCTGAGGAGAGCTGGGCCATCCAGGGAGCAGGAATATGGATTGTGCATCATTTCCAGGGGGGGAGATAAGCTTTAGAAATAGGAAGTCGGGGCTGTCGAGGCTGTGGTTTGTGACCGCAGGCCCATTAAGGATAACAGAGGAGGCATCAGGAGCTGAGAGGAGAAGCTGATGCTAATTTATAAGCCCTCAGCTCCCCAGTACAGCGGAGACAGATGGGTGGGGGCCCCCTCCGCCCAGCAGCAGGGCTGAAACGAACATCTTTAAGTAGGAAGACAGCGAAGCTTGCTAGGCATCCCTTGTAGAAAGCATAGAGAGGATTGGACCCCGTAACCACGAGGATGCAGGCAAGTCTTCCGTACCCTCCCCCTGGGCGTCTTTCTCCCTTGCCCGGGCCCAAACTGGCTCTTACTAATCAGCTGCTCACAGGGGGCAAATCTTTACCTCTGTCTGGGCCTGTTTCCTCATCTGTAAAATGGGAGGGTTGGACCAAATCATCTTAAACTTCTCTTCTGCCTCTGAATCCTGTGATCCTGTGGATATCGGCTCTGCCACTTTCTTAGCTTGGGAAAGTGACTTCATCCCTCTATTCCTCACTTTCCACATCTGTAAAATGGGGCTAATAATGCTCTCATGCTCTGCCACCTAGGATTGTTGTGAAGAAAGCACTTTAGAAATGCTCAGCCACTATAGGAATGTTACCCTGTAGTCCGGTGCTCTTATTTTGCAGAAGAGAAAACTGAGGCCCATAAAGACGAACTGTCTTGCTTCCACAAGGTCACACTGCTGGTGAGCATCAGAAGCAGGACCCAAGCCTCCTGAGTCCCAGGCCAGGAGGAGTCTTTTGGTATACCACACTGCATTCTGGGAAGGCTTGCTTTTCACTGACTGTCGATAATAATTCAATGAACATTTATTGAGCGCCTGCTATGCACCAGGCACTGTGCTAAGCGCTGGGGATACAAAAAGAGGCAAAGACATCATGCAAACAGATATATACAAATAAAGCTATATACAGAATAAGCAGGAAATAATTAACAGAGGGAAGTCACTGGGATTACAGGCTTCCTGTAGGGGATGAGATTTTAGCTGGGAACTTAAAGGAATCCAGAGAGATCAGTAGTAGGAGTGAAGGAGGGACAGCCGACATATAGCACCTACTCTGTGCCCCAGGGCGCTATGCTAAGCACTTTACAATTATCATCTCATTTGTTCCTCAACAACCTTGGGTGGTAGGTGCTATTATGATTCCTATTTTGCAGATGAGAAAACTGAGGCAGAGAGGTTATGTGACTTGTCCAGGGTCTCACAGCTAGTAAGTGTCTGAGGCTGGATTAAAACTCAGGTCTTCCTGCCTCCAGATCAGGCACTCTTATCTACTGTGGCCAACAGGATTACTGCTTACTCAGTGCAAGGTCTGGTGCTAAGAACTGAGGAAGATTCAAAGATTAATAATAATAATAATAATAATATAATGCTTTAAAGTTTGCAAAGCTTTTACATCTGTTATCGCATTTGCCCCACACTACAACTTTTTTGAGTTAGGTGATATTATTAATCTCATTTAATAAAGGAGGAAACTGAGTCCAGCAGAGGTTAAGCCCAGGGCATAGCCTTTGCCTTGGGGGTTCACACTTCAGCTGATGACAGTCTAATCTCTACTAAAGTATAGCTGATTATGCCTTAAGATACACCCTTAATAAGTAAGCTCTTACTCCTTTACTCTTCTCCTGGTTCTGGTCCTGACAGTCCAACCTTACCACCGCCTTTCCCTGAGCTAATAGCATTGCCCACCCTCACCCCAAGCTGCTCCTCACTTTTCAGACAACACCCTTTATGTGCTGTCTTCCCCTATGAGAATGCAAGCCCTTGGAGGGCAGAGGCCATCTTTCTTTTTTGCTCGTATTTATATTTCCGGTGCTTAGCATAGTGCCTAGCACACAGCAGGTCCATAATAAATGCTTCTTGCCAGACTGCTGACTGGTGCACACAGACAACTCAATACTGGATTGATCTAGGATCCCACCCATCCGGAAATTCTCTCTGAGGATGCCAGTCACATCCCATCCAGGCCTGTGCAGCTCTTGTCCATGTCCTCCCACAGTGCTAGAGACCTTCCTTGCTTTCTCCTGGCATCTCCAGGATATTAGCAGAGCCCTCTGGCTGTCCACCTGGCATCTCTTGTTCTATCTCCTGCGCCCAGCCCATTTTCTCTTGTTGCACATCTCCTCGATGACCTCTTTTGCTCCTGTTATTATTTGAGGGGGTTTTCTTTGATGATATATTACATTGTCCTCATACCCACCAGCCACCTCTCCATTTCCCACCATGTAAAATTCATTTTAGCTCCAAATAAAAACGTTTAATTATTTGGAGACTGCCTCCATACAGTAACACTGGTAGGAGAGGGGTATTAAAAAATTGGACCTTTGTTTCCATCAGAAGCTTGGGGTCATTAAAGGAGCTTTGCAATTTCCTGGAGACAATCCAGTCCTCTTCTCTCCTCTTCCAGTTCAAATCAGGGCTCAACTCATTGTCCGTATGCCCAGAGAGACACACTGATGGATGACTTTTCTAGGTTGTCACACAAACAAGTATGATACAAAATATACTACATAAGTGTATGAGACACCCAAGTGAAGTGTTCTGAGATCTTGGGGAGGGGGCATGGAGTGGGATCCAGGAAAGGCTTTCTGGAAGAGGTGGCATTTAAACTGGGCTGGACTTTATAGGATGGGTAAGGCTTGCATTGCTCACCAAGCTCCAGGGGCCCAGAAACCCTCCGAAGGAGAGAGAGAGCTGACTGACATCCACATGTCCATTCCAGATCTAGGGACTTCTTGCTCAACTTCCTCCCACCCCCATAACCCTGACTTCTTCCCTTGCTAGATGCAGAGGTCAAAGGTGGGTGAGGTGGGCAAATAGGCCCTCTACCCCAAAGAACAAGAAATAGAAATTTCCCAATCAAACCAGGACACAGTGCTTCCATGTACTCTGACTCCAAGGAATTCAGTATCCCTTGGTCCCAAGGGCCCTGATTTCACATTCCAGGCTGCTCTGGGGTCCCCAATCATAGGTATTGAGAAAAGAGCTTTGAGGGGAAGCATTAGACTAAAGTGCCTAATCCAAGATAAGGGGTGGCAGAAGTGGACTCTAGGGGGAGATAGGGTTGGCTCAGAAAAGATGATGGGGGGCAGCATCTCTGCCTTTAACCCATCTCTCAGGTTGGGCATCTGGGGCAGCTCCAGGGAATGAAGGAATCCCTCTCTGAGCCAGTTCCTTAAACCTGGAAAAAAGATCCTGGGCTCCAAGCTATAGGTGATTTGGGAATTTGGGAACGATGAGCAGCTAACTTAGCTTACACATTCACACAAGCATCCTCAAGCACTTCCCAGTTTCTTCGAAGCTAAGTGGGACTTTCCCTCCAGACCCCAGTGGAGACTCCTGAAACTAGAAACTTTCCAACCAAAATGGGGCTTCAGCCATGAGCAGCATCCCTTTCCCAGATCTCCTTCACACACCAGCATTCCTGTTCCCTGATCGATGGTGACATAGAGAGAGTGCAGCACTAGGAGTTGGAGGACTTTACATCTTAGCTCTGATGCTTCCTGGGTGGGGAAGTTTGTGCAATTCACCTTCCCTTTCTCCCCCTGGATTTCCTCATCCGTAAAATGGGCATGGTACTTGCAGAACTTACCTCATTGGCTCGTTGTGGGGAAGGTGCTTTAAAAGCTATAAATAACCATAGAAATGGCATTATTCTCTCACTTGCTAGTTGCCTGGAGGCCACATCCAAGAGTGAACATAGTGATGGGTGTAGAGAGAAGGTACCAGACCAAGAGTCAGAAGAAACAACAGCATATTATCTCAGGCAAACCATATAACTTCCTTTTTCTTTTTTTTTTTGTAAATAATATATATTTAACATCTTATTTTTTTCATTTCATTTTATTTTTTCTCCAATTATGTAACTTCTCTCAATATTGGTTTCATTGACTCTAAAATGGAATTTATAGTCCCTGTCCTGTCTGCCATGTGGAGATGGGGGCCTCCAAAGGACAGCTTCATGGAGAAGAAGACCAAGGCCCACTTTCTCAGTTCTCTAATCTCACAGATCTCTAAGCACGGTGTGGTCCAGTTTGGGGATCCTATCAATGGAAGAGAGAACGTTGGGATCTGAGCATTGGCTGGGGCCCCTTAGGGGGCCTCTCTTCTGACGTCTTCAGGATACCAGTGGAGCACTCTGGCTGTCCACCTGGCCATGGTCACTCTAAGTTGCAGAAGTGGGATTTCGATGCTGGTCTCTCCTGATTCCAAGTCCTACATTCTTTCCATCACACTAGACCTCAACAACCTTGATCAGGAGAATTCAGGGATGGAGGAGGGGAAAGAGAAAGAGAGAAGGGCAATTCAGGTTGTACAAGGGCAGAAGGGGTGGGTGGCCTTGGCAAAGAGGAGGGCCACTTTTTCCTCAGAGATTGAGGCAAGGGAGGAGATAATGTAGGGAAGTGGGGATGTTGTGGGGGTGTTTTGGGTAGGGGTATGGAAGAATGTGGAAGTTATGCCAGACTACTGAGTCACCTCTCCCCTCAGCCTTGGGACAATTTACATGGAAAATGCCAGAACTGGAGGGTCCAGTGCTTTGGCTTTAAGATAAGAAATCTGAGATCCAAGAGAAGAGACTTACTTGCCCAAGGTCACATAGATAGTTGGCGGTAGAAGACACAGCGGAATCCAGGCCTCCTGACTTCCTCAGCTCAGGACTCTTCACTACCCAACAGGACTGCCCCATAGACTACAGTGACCTGGCCAGGATAATGGAATCTTAGCTCCAGAGCTGGAAGGGATCTCAGAATCCATCTATTCCAACCTCCTTATTTTTACAGCTGAGGACACTGAGGCCAGGGAGGCTAAATAGCTTGCCCAAGGTCACAGAGGTAAAAATTAGAATCAGGGGAGAGAGGACCAGGACCAGGACTCCAGAGGCCAATGAGAGGAAAGACAGAGAAGAAGGGGGCAACGTGGTCCCACACCCACCATGTTACCCTACTGCCAAGGGAAGCAGGTGTCCAAACTTTCCCTCAAACCTCTGCTCACCCTACTCGGGCCAGTTAATAAAACGGGAAGTGTCTCGCCCACATTCCCTTGACAGGGCATTAAAAACCCCTGGCTCGGGCCCTCGCTGCCGGCCCCGGTATTGATGGTGCTGTCTCCCCAGCCTGCCCGCGTCACCTCTGGCTTCACTGGGTGATTAATGGGCTTCCGAACTTTCCCTGGCTGCCCGCCCTCCCCCTCTCTGTCACCCTTCTCATTACCGATGTATCTCTGCATCGCGGGAAGCGGGAGGAGAAATCGTGCTTGCCGGGTGACAGCTGAGGGAGCGCTCTATTATTAAAGGTACCCATCATCCATGGCCAGCCATCATCACAGGATGAATGCGGCTGTCAGGTGGACGCCTGCCGGGCCGGGCCGGGCCGGGCAGGCGAGGGGAAGGGAGGAGGGAAGAGAAGAAGGGAGGGGGGACAGAGGCGAGAAGAGAGGGATCTAGGGGGACGGAAGAGAGGAGGGGGAGAAGGGAGGGGCGCACAGTGCGCCCGAGCGGAGCGCAGCGTGCGCCCGAATTGAGCGCAGCGCGGGGAGCCTGGGGCGCCGGCTGAACTGCCCTTCTTCTTCCTCCTCCTCCTCCTCCACTTCTTTTTCTTCCTTCTCCTCCCCCTCCTCCTCGTCCTCTTCCTCCGTCTCCTCCTGCTCCTCCTCCCCTTTCATCCTCATCCTCTTCTTCCTCCTCCTTCCCTTTAGTCCTTATCGAACTCCTCCTCCTCCTCCCCTGTGCGTCTCAGCAGCTCCTCCACTCTCGGGCCCCCTCCTCTCCTGGGCCCCCTCCCACGGTGACCACCTCGGCTCGCTTGAACTCGGACCTTCCACAGCGACAGCCTCTCTGGCCTCGACAGCACGATTAATTTCTGCTGCCCTCGCCGGGGCCTCTCCCCGGCCGGGGAGTCCAGCTGGCCCGCTGCTGATAAGATGTCCCTTTCGATTCGTTTTGTTTTTGATTGGCTCCTCTGTCACCTACAATGGCTGTCCGCCTGGCGGCCTGCACCGTGGCTGACTGACGGATCTTTTTATCTGCAGGCCTCCTCCTCCTCCTCCCCCGCCTGGCGCTGCCCCCTCTCCCCCCCCACACCCCCCAGTAGCTCCCCAGCACCCCCCGCACGCCGCAGCCAGGCAGCCGAACAGAGCCGGCGAGCATCAACCCCATAAAGCAGGCCTGCCAGCACCCGCTCCCCAGATAAAGCCTGTCACGGGCGCCTTCCAATTCCCGGCAGCTTGATTAATGGAGAAAAGCCACGGCGGATCGACTCCTGGTTTCTACACACCGCTGTCAGGGGGCCTCGGTTGTGGGAGCCTCAGCCTTGCCCAAGACACCCCCCTCCCCAAGTCCTCTCACACCAAACACGTACACGCACCCCATCTCTGATCCGGGCCCAAGGAATGCTAGAGTTGGAGGCGGTACCTCAGAGGTCAACTTAGCCCGTACTCTGAGACCCCAAATCGGGATCCCCCACCTCTCACCCCAACAAGTGGTCATTCAGCCTGCACTTGAAGATTTCCACCTGAGGCAACTCATTCTCTGTTTAGCATCCTATTTGTTAGGAAGTTTTCCCCAAACATTCAGTGGAAATATGCTTCTCTCCAACATACAGCCAAATGAGTCCGAGTTTTTTTTTTTCTTTCTCTCTGGCGTCTAGCAGAACAAATCAAATCCCTTCCCCAACTCCTCACCTCCCTGTGACAACCCTCCAAATTAGCTATCCTCTCTCCAGCCTCCCTCTTCCCCCAGTCTTCTCCAGGTGAAACACTCCTAGTTTCTTCAACCGATCTGGAAGACACACCCTAACCTCAATGCTTTCTGCTTTGAGGACACACATATTGTACAGAGATAACCATGGGCAGAGTCCGTGGGGACCTGAGCTGGGGTGAGGTCTCACTGGGAATACTGAGGCTATTATCCATCAACCTGCCCGCTGTAAATTGGGATCCTTGTGGGAGGTGCCTGCCTTTCTCCTGTAGGAAAAGTTACTGAAATAGACAAATAAAGGGACAGGGAGAAGATAGTTACACAGTGTCAATGAAAAAAGGGGAAAAAGAAGAGGAGGAGATGGTGGGGGAAGAAAAGAAAGAAGGAAGGAAGACAGGAAAGAGAAAGGAAACCCACTATCAGACTTAAGGTACTCTTAAGATTCTTATATGAGAATCCTAATATTTATTCAACATCTTGTCAGAAAAACTTCCTTCATTCTTTTCTCCTTTTCCCCTCCTTTTCTCCTCCTTCGTCAGTCTGAAAATGAAAAAGAATGGGAGGTGACCTTCTGCCTCAGCTTCCCAAGATCCCTTGAGCCTTTTTGCAGGCAGGTGCCTTAATTTCCTTCCTCCAAGCCCGGAGGTAACCAGCATGGATAGCAGTTTCAGACTGGGGTTTAAGGATGTAGACCTGGGGTGGGGAAGAGGCTACTTCCTCTGTGCCTGGGTCCAAGGTCACCACTATTCCTTGACACTCTTTCCAACTCTAGGCTTTGGTCAATGAGAGGCCAACCCAGCTCCATGATTCAAAGAGGTACAAATAAGGAGGAAGGACTAAGCAGAGAAACTGAGGGAGATCTAGGGCAGTCGTCTGGGCTCTCACAATCCTGTAAGTCTGCCTGTTCCATTGTCTTATATCTCTAGTAATTCATTCTTCCTTATTTTGAGTTGAAATCTGCCTCCTAGTTTTTACCCATAGGTCCAAACTCTGCCCTCTGGTAGCAGTACAAAGTAACATCATGGGGTAGCCCTTCAGGCATTTGCAGACAGTGGTTATGTCCCTCTAATTCTTCTATACTCCAAGATAAACTTTCCCAGTTCCTTCAGCTGTTGTTCTATGGCAGGCTAACAGGAAGATTTGGGGTTGAGTTCTGTCTCTTGCCCATCCATGGGCTAGAGACTGCTTCACCCAGCCTCAGTCTGCAGGTGAAAAGAACACATGCACCACCCACCCCACAGGACTGTTTTGAGGAAACAGCTTAACAAAGGACCATGTGAACTTGAGCTATCACTGTAACTCCCAGCCTCCTCCCCATGCTGGATCTCTGGGCCTCTCTGGCTTGTCAGTGTCTCCCTCAGGCTCCATCCACTCCATCCCAAGGGTCCCTGCTTGATCTCCCCAGGAAGGAAGGAAGGCTTTCTACAGCTGATTCTCTTCCAGGTAGGCATTAATTCAATTCAGAACAACCATATATTAAGCTCCAGCTCAGTGCCAAGCCCTGGATTAGCTGCTGGGGATACCAAGACAACAATAACAACAAAACCTCCTTAATTTTATTGCGGTGAAACAACACGTACACAAATGAGTAAAAGTCAAAGGTGCATGAAGTGACTGGCAGTGGTTGGGATGGGGGAGCGACGACTGAGGGGAATCAGGAAAAGCCTTTTGCGGGAAGGGGCTCTCCAAGAGACAGAGAGGTGGAGCGAGGGCCTTTCAGGCAATGAAAGACAGCCTGAACAAAAACACAAAGGCGGGAGATTAGACATTATGGATGAGGGTACGGGCTGAGGAGGGGAGGAGCCAATTTATCTTGAGCATAGAATTCGGGAAAGAAAGGAATGTAAAATTAATCTGGAAAGACAACCTGTGATCCAGTTTAAATGCCAAATTAAGGAGGTTGGTTTTTTTTTTCCTAGAATGAAGAGGGAGCAATGGAAGCTTCTAGAGTGAGGTGTTACGTGGTCACTACTGGTTTTTAGGAATATCAGTTTGACAGCTGTGTGGAGAATGGATTGGAGAGGGGAAGAGGTTGAAGCCAAGAAAATGGGATGCTGAGGTAGGGGGCGGCAGATGTTACCTGTGCCTCAGTGTGTCCCTCAGGCCACCTCCCAGGTTTACCTTGTGTTACTACAGTGGTAAAAATTTTGGGGACAAGGGAAAGGGAATGTTAGGGGACAACACTGTTCGCTAAAAGGGAGCCTGTTTTCTAGAGCCTTAAGACTAGATATTTCTCCGTATGTCCCAAACCAAACTCATTATCTCTTCAAATCACCTCTGCCTTTTTCTTCCCTGTTTCTATTGATGGTGCTACAATTCTTCCAGTCCCCCAGGCTTGAATCCTTAACAATAATAACCATCAATTCATCATCATCCATGCAAACGATGTGAGGAAATGAGAGAAAATGTACAATGTACAAAAAATGCAGGGCCTGCATTCTGCCTACCATGTAAGACGCATAACCCGCTGGCTAGAATTACATACAAGAAGCTCACTCATAAACCAACTGAGGACAAATCAGTATTGTAAAAGAAGACCCTAAATTATCCTTAACTGAATTGTCCTTAACTATACTGAAACTAGAACCTCATCACAGACCAACCTTCAGCTCACCATTGCCCAAACAACACCGACCATAAAAATTCAACGTTTTCAGGGGCAGTGAGGTGGCGCAGTGGATAGAACACAGGCCCTGGAGTCAGGAGGACCTGATTTCAGATCCAGCCTCACACACATAACACTCACTAGCTGTGTGACTCTGGGCAAGTCACTTAACCCCAATTGCCTCACCCCCCCCAAAAAAAAATCCAACATTTTAATAGATACCACTATCTATGTTATTGTGGGCATTAAGACCAAATGCTCATACATCTTCAAGTTGTATGGAATCAAAAGCTTTGAAAATATAGAGACTTAGAGGAATATATCAAAACCATGTAGATGATGCTGTTATCATCCACGTCCAGAGAAAGAACTAATGGACTCTGAATGCAGATGGAAGCATACTATTTTGACTTTCTTTGTGATTGTGTGTGTTTTTTTCCTTTTGGTCTGTTTCTTCTTTCACAACATTGACTAATATGGAAATATGTTTTACATGATTGCACAAATATAACCTATATCGTTACTCTTTTAGGGAGGAAGAGAGGGAGAAAATTTGGAACTCAAAAATTTTCTAAAAATGGATGTTAAAAATTATCTTTAATCGGAAAATTATGTAAGTGTCTGGTCACATTTGAACACAGATCCTCCTCATTCCAGAACTAGTGCTTTATCCACTGAGCCACCTAGCTGCCTCACCTTGCAGTAACTTCTTAACTGGGTTCCTTGCTTCCTGTGTGTCCATCCTGCACACAGCTTCCACAAACACAATTCTGACCATGTCACTCCCCTGCCCAAGAAGCTTCTGTGGCTCCCTCTTGTCTCTAGGATGAAATTCAGGTTTTTAAAGTCCTTTACAGTTTGGCTCCCACCTGCCTTTCCAGGCTTACTGCACATCACTCTCCTTCCTGAATTTTATGTTCCAGCCAAACCTGCCTGCTTTGCTCTTTTCTGCACTAGATCCCCCATCTCCTGTCTCCATTCCTTTGCATAAGTTGTCCCCCCACACCTGAAATGCCATCCCTCACCACCTCCGTGTCCTAGAATGCCTAGCTTCTTTTTAAGCTCAGTTCTAATGATGCCTCCTACAGGAAGCCTGTTCTGAGCTAGGGCTCTTTCCCCAGAAACAACTTTGTATTTATTTTGCATTTCATTTGCTTTGGACGTGTTGTTACTCTCCAATGGTACTCCAGCCATCTTCTGCCATGCTGCAGCTCTACTCTTCGTCCACTATGAGGTTCTCTGTCTCCAGCCAAGTTTTCCTAATTGGGAGAATCCATCATCTCTAGCTGCCCCAGGAATTTCAGAAGGGGACATAAAT